TTTCTTTCTTTTTGTCCTGTCACATTCCAGCCCTCAAGCAATTCCAGGGTCATATTAGTAGCTGGTGGCAATCAAAGCCTCAGGAGCTGAAACTGAAGGAGAACTTTATTCTCTGTTCGGGTGAGCTGTGGTTCCACAGAGGGTTGATGCTGTTGATTTTTCTGTGTTCTGCTGCTTTGCTCCAGATGCAGTTTTGGAAGTGGATGGGAGAGCACAGTTAGAAGGCCCAGCTTTCTAACCAGAGGACTGAGAAGAATCCAAAGAATCTGGAAAATACTGGAAAGATTGTAGAGAGAAAGGTACTCCAGAAAGTGACTGCATAAAATTGGCTATAAACTCTGGGGCTCACCCCTAAGCTGCACACATACAGATCTGACTCATGTCAGCACATCAGACTCTGAGACTAAACAGACCACAACCCAGAACAAGACCGACTATAAAATGGTGTACATGTGGTATAAATCCGAACAGCCCTGCAAAGCTTTGCTAACTGAAAATGCAACTACAGCCCAAAGGAAGTGAGTTGGAACATGTCACCTAAACCTCAATCTACTGTCTTCTGAAACAAAAATATCAATGTTCTATGAGATTTAAATAAGACACAGAGTGTTATGGCATATTTATTCCAGAATATATGATATAAAATTATTCAGTATACAAAAAAATAAGGGAAACCTCAACACACATGGGAAAAGATAATCAACGGATACAAATACCTAAATGAATAGATATTAGAATTATCAGACAAAGAATTTAAAGCAGATGTTATAAAAATGCTGCACCCACCCCCAAAGATGAATACTCTTAAAAGCAGCAGGAAAATAGAGCATATTAGCAAAGAAAAATGAAAAGTCATTATGAAGAAATGAATGAAAACTTTAGAACTGAAGATCACAATTAAAAATATAAAAGCTTACTGGATTTGGCTCAACAGGAGGATGGAGATGATAGAGGAAAGAATCAGTGAACTTGAAGACAGATGCTTCCTCTGCATAGTTGAGTCCCTCCCAGGGAATCTCCCTAGCCTGAAAATAACTAAGTCACCCAAGATTACACGCCCTCTGCAGGTCCATCCTGGAGGTACAAAGGCCCAGCTTTCTTGCCTCATTCAGAATAACTCTGCAGGGGCATCCCAGGTGTAGAGATTCCCATAGGATCCTTTGACTCGTTTGTAGCAATGACAGTACAGTTCAACCTCTCCCTCTGTCCAACCTCGATTCCCTCAGTCTCTGACACTGCTGCTACAAGCACTCGCCAATAAACTTACTGTGACAGATCTCCACTTCCACCAGTGTCCAACCTAACACACTTCACAAACATAAATGGGAGAAATGAGAAACTTTTGTATGTATGTATGTATCCGTACATTTCTAGTAGTATTTTAAAGACTGCAATGGAAGATGTATGTCAGGTACTTTCCTACGACTATATTTTTAATCTTCATTATATTCATTTGCAACAGCACAGATCAACTGTACAGATGGAAAAATTGAAAAAAAAAATGATTAATTGAAACGATTAACATTATGCCTAGTACACATTAGGTACTCAAAATGTATTGAATAAATTAATGATAACGCGTAATGGTGGCGAGGATAGAGGGGTGGTGAGAAGCAAGGTCCCTGGTGCGTGGCTCTTCCTTGCTGTGCGACCTTAGGCAAGTTACGTGACCCCTTTAAATCTCAGGTGGTTGTTTTTCTTTTCATGTAGATAAAAGGGTAAAGCATTTGGCATAGTTACTGACACTTAGTAAAGGCTCAAGAAATGTTAGGTGTTTGCAGTTTGCTCCTCATGATAAGTAAGTGAAGTTGGAACTATCATTACCGTTTGGCCCAGTCTAAGGAAGGCCAAGAAAGGCTTCTGGTTCTCTTAGTCCTTTCCACGCCATGTGCCCCTTTGGTAGTCTGTTGAAGCCTACGAGAAAGGTCACCAGCTTTGATGTCGTTTGCTGTCTATAGTCACTCATAATTGAAGAAATTGCTAAATTTCAGTTAGAGGTTAGCGAAAATGGACATGTAATTTTACTTCCTATTCAAGTGCACAAATCAACAAAATTCTGTTTGTGAATTCCAGGTTAAGAATACATGGATTAAATTATTTACCTAAGATTCCGTACAAAGAAAATACCTATATGTTTAGGCTTATATGAGACTAATATCAAGCTGATTTTTAACGAAAAACAAAAACTTACCTTGGTTTTTAAATTACTAATGTCGACCCGTAGACTAGTGATATATGCTTCCAAATTGTCTCTGAATTTAATAATAGCAGCATCTTTATTTGTATCACTTAACTTCATAGCAGTTTTTAGTTGACCAAACTTGAGAAGAAGGATTTTATATATGGCAACTTGCTCTTCTGAAATATGGATCTGGTAATACCTTAAAACAGAATACAGTTGAGCAACGGTTGAATATTCTTTTTCTAATTCAGTTATTTTTGAGGAAACTGCACCCAAAAAAGTAAAATGTTCCAGAAATTCTTCTATTTCCGTGGGATCAGATTCCAGCTTTCGCAAAGATGAGTCTACAACCTGAAATCATTTACACATCAATTACGATCATATAATCATTTTTCACTATTTTAGAAGATGAATTATTCTTTTTGATTATCTCCAACTTAATTATAATTTCAGAAAAAGAAAACAAAATCATCTACATATTCTAAATATTTTTAAAATACTGAGGTATTAATATGACCAAATCCTTTCTATTATTGACAGAAGTAATTTGAATGTATCTTGTGCATAAAAATGCTACTAAGACATTAAAGAAGTACCATTATGAATAATTTTGTTTCTATGAAATAAATGTAATAATGATAACAAGAGTATGGATGAATGGTGAACAGTGTATAAGTGCTACTGTCTTTTGAGCATTTACGTGCTGGGTTCTTTATACATGATCTAGGTTCTTTATATACATGATCTAAGCTCTTTATTTACGTGATCTCAATTTGCTCCGATAGTATGTTTGCTAATAGTTATTTTCTGCATTTTGTACAGAAGGAAACTGACTCTCAAAGGGATTAATTAGCCTAAGATGAGAAATTTATTGAGTTACAGAGCTATGATTCAAACTCAAATCTGAATCCAAATCACATTTGTATCTATTATATGTATTCATTAGAGCATCCATACTTTTTATTATATGTGTATCATTCCATGAAATTTGCAAAAGAATTGTATTTCCATACTCATTATAATTTTATCATATTTTTTTCCTGTTTCAATGACTCTTAAGGAATACTCTATGCATAATTTTGAAATCAATGTCATTCAATTTTCAGTTTCACAGCCTTGAATTAATTGCCTGTATATGTCTCTAATTTTCAAACACTTTGTTCTATTTGATTATAAAAGTAACAAATGCTCGTGCAAAAATGCAATACAAAAAAAAGTTTATGAAATATAAAAATACCTATTATTCTATCACCTAGAAACAACCACTGTTAACCCATTAGAAATTTTACTATGGTGTGAATGCGTATGTGTGTGTGTGTTAATGTGTGTGTGTGTGTGTGCGCACGCGCACATGAGTGTGTGCATGTGGGCATGCATGAATGAACACACTCTTGCCTACACATTTTTAACACAGGGCTTACATGAACAGGCTTGTGTTTGAATCCCAGCTCCAGTATTTACTAACTGTGAGAACCTAAGCAGACAGGTTTATTTGAATAAACCTGGTGTCTTCCTCTGTCGTTCTGAAGATTAAATAATTTAGTCATAGGCTTATAACGGTGCCTGCCACATTTTATCAAAAATGAAACAGAAGACTGAGTAAACAAACACAATTATCTTGACTCCGACCGCAAATCCCAATTAAATTCCAGAAAAAATAACTGTTAAATACAGATCCATATTACAACGAAATTCCAATTTTGTGAAAAAGATGAAATACACACAACTTCCTTTATGTCACTGGTAGTTCATTGATACCAAAACCAGATAAGGATGGTAAAAGAAAAACACAGATCAATTTTACTTACAAGCATAAATGCAAAAATCTTAAAGATTATGTATATGTACGCACATGTGCAATCTGGCAAGCTAAATCTACCAATCTGGATGTGAGACTAACTTTAGAAAGTCAATTTATGTCATTATCCACATTAAAAGATTAAAACAACTGTATGGTTATCTCAAGAGATACATAATAAGCACTTGATAAAAATCACTTATTATAAAAGAATTCTATCACATTAGGAATTCTTTTCAAAATATGAGAACTTCCTTAACCATATTAAGAGAAGCTACCAAAAGTCTCAAAAAATAAAGACACACATCGGGGAATGCAGGAGCTAGAAAGGGGGTGACTAAACAGAACTTTCATAACAGATTCCTAAAAAATCAATAGCTCAGAAACAACTTTCTGGAACTAAAAACTATGATTCTTCTGTCTCGTTTCCTCCTTGTGCTTCTTTTGTAATAATTGTATTGCTATTTCTTCAAGTTCGGATTTTTTTCTACAGTGCCTAATCTACTAATCCCATGAAGTGAAATTCCCATTGAAGATATTGTATTTTTCACCAATTTAAGTTACATTTGGCTTTTTAAAATCTCTTCCACCTATTTGTCATGTTTGTGTTTTTATTTAAATACTTGTACGTAATTAGATAAGCTGTTTTAAATGTCTTTGTCCAATAGTCCTATTTTTTTTTTTTTTGTCATTTCTAGGCTTGTTTTCATTGACTTCTTTTTTCCTCCTAGTTGTGAGGCATATTTTTCGTTTGTTTGTTTCTAAGCATATTTAGTAATTGCTGATTGAAGGCCAGGCATTGTTAATGCTACGTTACATGTCTAATTTTTATTGCCTTTATTTAAAAAGTGCTGTCCTTCATTTGGTGAGGTAGTTATTTGCAATTTTTTTTTTTCCATAGGAAGGCGAAGTGACTTCTGTGGTTGGTTACTTTGGATGGATAAACTTGGTAGGCATAGCTGAGGCCTTCTCAGAAACCAGCTCGTCCACAAAGAGTGCGTGTTCCTTTCCGCTCACTGTCGTAGAATGACAGTGGCATGCTGTAGCCACGAGGTTGACAGTTTTTCAGGGCAACCAGTGTTGAGTGGGTTAAGTCGCTAATTCTGGGCGTCAGTTTGGGGAAGGTTAATTTCCCCAAATAGAAGCCATATACTCCAGGGTCCACATTATTAATTAAGGAAATATTTTTAACTTTTTTCGTCTTGTTGCCTTATTTTTCAGTTGGTTTAGTACTCAACCAGATGAGAACAGTAATATTATGTCTCCTAAAATTCAATATGTGGGAAGAAGTGTCTGAGTAGCCAAAGGGATGGGCTATAAGCTTGCGGACTTGAGACCCAACCCGTTCAGCTTTTTGCTTGTTCTCCTCTACTACAGAGGACAGGGAGCTTAACCTGGGCCATCTCAGCCAGGTCCTTTTGCGACCCAGTTCTGGCGATGAGAAGGAAAGTGAAATTCACCATGCTGCTTCTTCGGCTTCCCCCTTGTTTCTTTCTACGCCTAGGGTGTGAGCACTGTGCCTCTGTGGCTGCAGTCACCAGCAAGGGGGACGGGGCGGGAAGAACGATGCCGGCACCATAGCTACCGTACCAGCCCTGGCTCCCAACACTCAGACTTCTTTCTGCTCTAGACGAAGCAACTGTTCATTTAATAAACGTTATTTTCTGGGTTTTCAGATACTTGTTGGAGAGTGCAACCTGAATTAAGTGGAGTAATTTTTGTATATTATAGGATTATTGCGGGTCTAAAGATAATATATATTCCATTATATACAGCACATAGTACCTTTCATCTACTAGACACTTTTTGATCTTTTCTTAAGCTTTTTGCAGCATTAAAAATGGCTACACATTCCCTCCTTCTCAAAACACTCTTGCTTCCTTCCATCTCTCTGGCTGCCCCTCCTCAGTGTACTTCGTGGGCTCCTTTAGCAATCCCCTACATAGTGACATTATTCAGGCTCCTGTTGTTGTTTTCTACTGCCGCAACATGTGTAAACAGGGACATTCTCATTCGCTTTGATGATTTTAATGACCACTTGTATGCTGGTCATTTAAACGTTTCCAGTCTAGACTCTCTCCTGGTATCCAGACCTGTCTCCCTGAGTATTCTCCTCAATTATTACGCAATTGAACAAGCACTATGTGACCTTTCCCAGTGAACTGCAATCACCGACCACCTTGTTGTCTAGTCAAAAACCTAAAGGCATCTTTAATTTCCATTCTTTCTCTTATCCCTTACGTTGTCAATCGCTAAATCCTGTTGATTCCATCTCTTAAATAGATCTCAGGTCCACATACTTCTCAGACTCCACCTTGCTACTTCCCTGGTTCAAGCTATCGTCACCTCTCCCCCTAGACACAGAATCATCTATCCTCTGCTCTTGTCCCACTCTATTCCATTCTTCACACGGCAGCCATGGTGGTCCCTACAAAAATGCAAATTGCATCATGTCATATCCCTGCTTAAAATCTTGCAACGATTCCCGATAGGAAAAGCAGATAGACAGTGATATGGGGCATATTTATAGATATGGTGGTCAGAGAAGGTTTCTTTGAGGAAGTGACATTTGATCAGACCTAAATGCAATGCATATGGGAACTTTCTGAAGATAATACTTATTATGTATGTTTTCTAAGTAGACATTTAAAATTATAACCTACTACTCTTAAAGATTTTCAAGCAATAGGAATTTTCAAAATACTTACTTCCAGTAGATGTGTATTCTTTTTTTCAATTATAGATCGCAAGAGGTCGTGGCTTATTTGTATGATATTCTCAACATATGGTAAGCATTCTGACTGATAATCAAGACTTAAAACCTTGAAAATACCAATGCGTTTCTCAATGACCATATTAACGATATGTCTAAGATAGTTTATAAATTTAGCTAGTATCACTTTAAACTGTGTTGATGTTAATTCTTCCATCGATGATATTTTTACACTCATGATTTTGGCCTTTTCTACCATAGTACAATATTTTAAAAACTTGCGGCTGTAATCATTAACTAGGCCCATTTTATCACCAATAATAGTCAGGAGACTCACAATCTATAAATAAAAATGTTAAAAAGTTAGTTAGAATTTTATTTTAAGGGTAAAAATAGTGTGGTCTATATGCTAATAATTTTGTTAAAATATTTAAAATAATAGTTTTACGTGGTTAATTGCATTAAGAACCTCTACTAAATAAATACCTTGGAAACACAAGACTTGAAGAAATTTAGATCGCTTTTTTATATTTGGCTTTTATGAAAAGGTTTACAAGGCTATTTAACTATATAATTAGCATGTTATTTTTAGCCATGTACTAGAGATACCAATCAGTTATTCCTTGTTTGTCATCCTGTTTTAGTGTATATGTTCTATGCCCTAGAAAAGGTCAATTCCACACACTATCCAAAGTAGGCACAGCTATCCTGACTGAATCCTAACTGAAGCTAAGACAATGACATTCTCTTGTATATTTGAACAAAAATACCCAGTTAGATAGTAATGGGAAAAGCCAGGGCCATGGCAATTCAACATTTCGGCAAGGCAATATTATGAGGGAACCATAAAAAAGAAAGCTCATTTTCATAGTCAAAGTCAGAAAAAAAGCACAGAAATGAAATATCATGAAGAAGACAAATGGGGGGCGATGAGGTGAGAATGATTTTCCAATTGCTGTAACTTATGAGACCCTAATTTTTCATTAAACCCCTTTTCATCGGAGAATTTCAGTGCGTTTCTGCTTCTTAAACCGAATGTTCCCTAAGAAAAACTGTTTTTAAACTTACTTTATTTTGGTAGGCAGGATCCATTTCAAAAAGGATGTGACAATCTGGCCATGTGGTGTGCTTCTTATAGTCTTTTATATGTCTTTTCTTATCAGGCATATTCATAATTAAAACCAAATCAGTAAAGATGGACAGGCGGGGATCTTTGTAGAGAGGAATAATTTTGGCTAAAATACATAAGTAAAAAGTTAGTAATTTCAGAAGTCCCACTAAAAGCAACACCTTAAAATTATCCATGACATCTAGAACTACTAAAAACTGAGGCTGATTTATTGTGGGAGCTAGATAATATTCTATTTTGATAAATGGAATTTAAAGACAAGTGTAAAAGTTTGAATTTAATATTATGAAAACAAAAGATATCACTCATAGGTAACTGGGTGGTGGTGGGATGAGGCGTGATTAAAATAGAAGCAGAGAATAAGTCATTAAGTTAACAATACTTTGAAGTGTATATGCTATGTGAAGAGCATTATACCATTCTGAGGACACTAAAGACACAGCCTCTACTATCAATGAGTTCACAGTCTAGCTGCAAAATTGGATGTCCACAAGCAAAAACTAAAAAAAAAACAAAAAACCTTTGACCTATACTTTATGCATTATAAAACATAAACTCAAGATGAATCACATACCTAAATATAAAACACACAACTATAAATCTAGGAGAAATTACAGGAAAAATCTGTGTGACCTTGAGTTAGACAGAGTTAGATACAAAACCAAAAGCATCATCTATAAAAGAAAGAAAAAGAATAAGCTATACTTTCTCAAAATTAAGGAGTTTAGCTCTGTGAAAAAGAATGGAAAGATAAAGCACAGGCTGGCAGAAAATGTTTGCAAATCTTATTATCTGATAAGGAACTTGCATCCAGAGCACATATAAAGACCTCTCACAACTCAACAGTAAGTATAGCGAGGAAAGACTGGATTCTTGAGGCCTGCCAAAAGAAATCAAATAATGCACTGGATCCCAGCTTAGGCCAGAGAGAGGGTCCTCGGAATTCGGCAAACCATCATGATGGGACTAGAGGATGCCGCAGCAATTAGGGAGCTGCAGAGGATCCTGCTTAGATTGTGGAGAAAGGATAAGTTCATTGGTCAGGCTAGTAATTACCATGTAATTTCAGACTGTGTACACGCAGCTGGAAAAGAATTAATAAAAATCTACTTGAGGTGGAAATAATATCTTTGTTTTACTGTGACATCTAAGATATTGCTTATTTAAGTCTCATAAAATTCCCTTGAAATTATTGAAAGAAATCCAGGCCTTCACCATTTTCCTGATTCCCATCTTTTATGCACTCTATGATTATGTGTATAATTCACACATAGTTCCAAATAATTCCCAATTCACACTGACTGACCTCAAAGAGTATAAATTTATAATCTCCTAATATATCGTAATGTCTGCCACATCCCTGGGTAAAAGCATCAAATGCCTAAATTTAAGTAAACATTGCCAAAGAAGACAATGTATCTAATTAAACCTTTAAAATACTTACTTATACATTTTTCAATATCAGTCACCATTTTTTGAATTTTTATTGAAAACTCCAATCTGTTGGGAGCAATAAAGAGATTTGTAGGAAATTCTAAAAATCTAAGAGAGAAAACAATAAAAGCACATTTCAGGAGAATGAAGTAACTAACATATAAAATTATTTGAAATTTCAAAAACGTTTACTACTTACTCATCATACGTGTATTTATTCTTAAACTCAGTCACCACTTCTATGTCTATTAGAATCCATCGAAAGAAAGAGAGAATAAAAAAATTGATTGATATTTATATCCGCTAAATGGCAACTTGATATGTGTCAATGCTTTCCAAATAGCCTAAGAATAAACTTGAAAGGTCATTTCAAAGAGTTTTCAAACAGTACACCCCACTCCCAGATTTTGATTAATGAGGTCTCAGATGGAATCCAAGGGTCTGCATTTTTAACAAGCATCCCAAGAAGGGGGTCCTCAGGTCCCCTCAGTTAGAAATGGCACATGTACTGAGATAAAAATGAACAATGGCATTCTTATCCACAGGCACCGCAAAGGGCCTGTAAGTAGATGCTCACCTGGAGCATTCTTCCTTACACATTTATAAAAATCGTAACCCACTAACCGATAATACGTAAACGACTACATTTTCTCTCATTTGTTTATTGTCTGGCTGTTAGGACACTTCCCTTCAGTCTTTATAGTCTCATACGTCTTACCTGAAAAAATTTTTTCGAGGTTGTAACTAAACTTTTTTGGTTTCATGATCGGAAGTTCTTCACTTGACTGTTTGATGACAAAATTGACTTCATTCATTGACATTTCGTCATCTTCACACATCACAGATTTTTCGGAGCACTTGTCGAGCTCAGAAAAATTCTCTGTAGAATTTTCTGAAGAAAAAAAACTCAAGTGTAGATTTACTTCAAATATTGGTGCATATGTTTTTCTCAAATCTTTATTCACTTTAATACTATTCAGAATCTAATTCAACAGATATGTTAGAGTTCCAGTGACGATGTATTAACTAAAAGAACACTTCTTTTAATTTAAGATAATACAGACCTAAATTTTAAATGACAAATAACTACAGTATAACTGAATAACATTGTATTACCATATAACTGGTCTATGCATGTTAAAAATAAGTAAATTAATATAAAATAGATGATATATTAAAACACAGTAGTCCTCCCTGAAAAAAACTGTGTAAATTGAAGGTAGAGTAGCCACATGTTAATGATTTTAGAACTTATTAAAACTATAAATTCTATCCTAAGAAATTTTGAGTTAAAAAGTCAGGAGCAAGGCCCAGAAATCTGAATCATTTAAAAGCTGAACAGGTGACTCTACTGTGTACTCAGATTTAAGACTTACAAATCAGGAATATATTTCAAATTCATGACTACAGGTCTTAGCTCTTCACTTTAACTTGCAGTAGCATAGTCATCCCTATGGAAAAATATCTAGTATTTTAGGTATAAATATCTCATTTACACAATGTCATTGCTCTTAGGCTCTGTCTAGGCATGAGTTCTCAACTAACTGATCCCTCATATGCCATAAGTAATCTGTTGTGCTTGTGTTTCTCAGTGTGGTCATCTGAACCACCTGTTAGAACCCCAACCATTGGTTCTAGCATTAACAAAGAATTTTGTGCAGGAAGTTAACAGCATAAATAAAACGCCATTAGCACCCTATTAAGCTGCTGAGGTGAGAGCCCATGCTACAGGTTATTTTCAAGCCTTAAAAGTTCTACACGAATGGGCACAGAGTTTCTGTCTGGGATGATGTAAAGTTCTGGAAATGGACTGTGGCGATGGTTAGATGATATTGTACTAACATACTAATGGTATACTAAGACCACGCTGAAAAATGGTTAAAATGGTAAATTTTATGTTATGTTTATTTAAAAAAGTTCATACAGATAATTCCAAATGAATAATGTGTTGCAAAGCTTATTCTGGAAAATAACCTCTCACTGTGGAAATGAAAAAAGTTCATACAGATAATTCCCAATGAATAATGTGTTGCTTATTCTGGAAAATAACCTCTCACTGTGGAAATGGTTGAACCTCAAGCCCTATATACCTTCTAATGTTATAGTAAACGGATATTTTGCATAGAATCATTCTCGAAATATGTATAGTTACCATTTGATATAGTGTACTTATATCAGATACATAAGTATACTTGACATAGTACTTAGAGTACACTATTTGATATAGCATAGTTACTATTTGATGAGTGCTTGTCACATCCAACGCACTATAGTAAATGAATCACCTTCACCTCATCCTCACAATAACCCTGAGATAGAAATTATTCCTCCTATTTCACATAAGAAGAAAGTGAGACTCAGGAATCTTATATCAATTTGTCAGAGGCTGTACTGCTAGCGTGTGCTAAGGCTGGAGTTTAGTCATGGGTCTATGAGTTCAAAGCCCACAGTTAAAAACTAGAGTTTGAAAATCTTTTTATAAGAAAGACATTTTTTTTTTTCACTGTCATGCTTTTTG